CTCATCCCACCCTGTTGTGCTTCAGCCCGGCTGGTGCAGGAACTTTTCCTGGAAGAGCTTTGCACATCAAGAGCTCCTTCCCTTCCTGCCGCAGTTCCCCCTCCCACACCTGCAGGAGGACAATTTTTTACCTTGGTTGCTGAGGATGGAGCCAAAGTGTGAGTTGGAGACTGCAGCAGCAGCTGTCGGGGTTCAGCGTTGTTCCACGTGCTCATTCACTTGGGTTTGTGAAGTCCCCAAATTGCCGTAAAGTGCTCACAAAGGATTTGTACTTGCTGTGTCAGTCTAAAACCTGAAGGAAAATACATTTTTATTCTTTCTACTTGGGTGCTTCGTCGTCTTTCTTTGTGAAAGCTCTACAATAAACAGACTATTTAATTACTCAGCCGTAGTCTCCCTGTGTTCCGTCTGCAGGTCTGTTTTCTCAGCTCCAGGCTCTTTAGGTGTACGCAGGTGCATAGTTCCAGTGCTCTCGACTGAGACTCACTGGGTTGGGCGTTGGTAAAACATTTTGTCCATACTATGATCCATTTTTTTTAAGGGGGGAAGAATTGTTGGATAGTGGGAGAGGCTGCTATTCTTACGCGTCTTCCTGCCACCTCTGCTGCCCTCCACAGCGCGGAGTCAACAGAGGCAGCGCGGAACTGCGGAGCAGTGGTGCGTGGCGCCACCTGCCGCACAACGGCGGTGCTGCAGCGGTGCGCGATGCCCTCACAAGGGCTGCGTTAAGTGCCCCACGAGGGCCGCTTTGTTCTCGCGTTTTTGCGAGAGGTGCGGGAGGTGACTCGGACAGTCTTGGCCGTGGTGCAGAGTTTCCCCTGACCTCAAGGAGACGGCACACAATCTAAAAGGCCATATTTTAATTCAGAAGTCGTTTCCTCAAAAGATGTACAAACCCCAAGAGACAGCAAATCGTGGCCCCAGACCTCCCCCTATGGACTCAAAACAAACAAAAAGCAAAGTGAGTCTCTTCCCATCACACAAATTCCATGAGAGCTGAAAGCTGTAGAAAGTCCAGAGGTGATGGTACATGTAGGAAAAGTCACTCAAAAGGAAAGGACCGCATCTCCTGAAGTGATGCTAAGAGCTCCAGGCAGCCCTGGGAGAGAAGGAGAGCGGTTGCTGTTGCCGAGTAGAGCACGGCATCGCATTTTATGCTGTCTCCTGGCAAGGATTTACATTCTCCCAGATGGAGGCACAGCAAAGCCTGTTTCCCACTCGGCCCCAAACAAACCCGTCTGAATACAGCACCAGTAATCCTGTAGTTATGCTGGTGGCGTTGCATGTGCAAGAAACGTCGGAATTGCTGTAGCACTCACACAGTGATCAATGCTGTCATTCACTGCCCTCCTCTGTAAAACAAAAATAATCACTGTGTTAGTGGGTCATGGTTCTAATAATGCTCATAATGAAGGTGCAGGTGTGTTTTTCAGCTTTGTTTTCCAAAAGGTTCACCTCCCCCCACCCTAGCCTGCTGCTCTCACCTTTGCCTTCCACTTTAAAATCCGATGGCAGGAGGTTGTCCTGGCGATTCCCCAGAACGAAGGCCAGAAATGAGAGGATGAGGGCATCGAGGATGCCAATGATGCAGAGGATGTAGGCCCAGCGCACTGTGCAGGCGCCCAACGTGTATTTGTCTGTCTTGTCCCCACACAAGCGCTTCACCTCACTCGAGTCCCAGCCGTCAGGGTAGATGAGGCACCCGATCATCAGCCCAGTGGCTACGAGGCAAAAGGGGAATGGTGTGTGAGAACAACAATCGCTGGTGCTGGCTGAAGGGGCTTCAGTGTGACATGGAGGTTGGGGCTCTGCTCCCTTTGTGACGGTGCTGCAGTGCACTGCAGGGACAGAGCAGCATGGGGACAATGCAGCACAAGAGCAAAGCAGTGTGGGCATGATGCAGCACATGGGCAGAGCAGCAGGGGACAATATAGCTGATAATAAAACAGCACAGAGACAGAATAGTGTCGGGATGATGCAGCATGAGCTCGATGGAACACATGGACAGGGCAGTACAGGGACAGTACAGTGTGAGCACAATGCAGCACATGGAGAGAGCAGCACAGGCGTGACACAGCACTGACTTCCCACACACTGCCCAGGCCACTGCCCCAGCTTCCATTGTGCTGTTGCCTGGGCAACTTGCTCCTCTCCAACCACTGCACACAACATAGTTCTCTCTTCAAGGAGATGCAGCCTCTGAGCAAAGCTGGAACATGGTGTGTTTGTGCAACACTGCTGCTCTGTGCACAGCTGGGTTTTGGCTCGCTGCTGGCAGCAGCGCAACATGCTGATAGACGCCGCTTGCTCAGCTGCTGTTGTTCCAGCGGGGCTGGGAGCTGTGCTGCCACATGGTGCATGGTGTGCCATGGGAACACAGCACCAACTGCCCGGGGACATCTTCTGTTGTGCAGTGCAGCTCCCGGCCCCTCCAGGTGCATTTTTTCCTCTGCATCCTTCTGCTCAGAGAAGTCACTGCTGTTGCTCAAATAGGTACCTGTGGTGCATGGAGCAAAGGGAGCTGCTCTGCGCTGCACTGAGGGTTTGTCCCCAGCCATGGGGAGCTCCTTGGGACAGCACAGAGCATCTCTTACAATTCAGAAGCAGCTGCTTTGTTGTGTATTTAATTAAGCTTTGCTGTAGCCAACAGAAAGAAGGGGCACAGGGAGGTGAGGGCAACTGGAAAGGAGCTGCTGCCCTGGTGGAGGTTGGCCCCAACATGGTACAGGCACAGAGATGGAACTGCTGCTGTTTCCTGGCTCTGCAGTGCCAGGCATTGGGAAGAGATGCGCTTCGGAGACCTCAGCTACATGGAAGAGCAAAAGGAAGAGCAGACAGAGCTTGGGAAACGGGTTTGGAGGGGTCAAAAACACTTGGTTCAGCACAACCCAACCCTTGTAATGACCTTCCCCACTTTGGCTCTATGAATGGTGGTCACATAAAAGCTCTGAATCCAGCAGCAAAGCCCTTCCATGCCCAGCTCCCTGCAGGGCTGAGCTGCCCCAAAGCCTCTTATCTAAATCTTCATTTGAGCTCAAGCTGGGAACTGGAGCAAACCTACGCAGCTGCCTGTCCCCAGAGCCACCTGAGGAGTGCAGGGACACTATGAATGATGCAGGAGCTGTGCAGGTTGGGTTGGATTGGGTTACCAGCAGATCGGGTGTTAACGTGCTGGGAGGGAGTATGGGGAAAGAATGCAAACCTTATAGCTGACAGCGGTGTCCCAATGTTCCTTGAGCTCATGGCAGTGCCCACCACTCCAGGGAGCCCATCCCACACCCACCCCACGCCCACCACCCCATAGCGCAGTGCCTTTCCCTGCCGCTCACCCGCCGCCAGCTGCATCCAGGCACACACTTTGTAGACGGTGGCGGCATTGCAGAAGAAGAAGAGGCTGAAGCAGAGGATAGAGCCGATGATGAGGAAGGTGGAGATGCCCACAAAGAACATTGCCGTTTTGAAGGCACTGGAGGGGATGGTACCGAAATCCAGGGGGCTTCCCTTGCAGATGAGCTCTCCGGTGAGCGCATTGCCAATGCAATAGGAGAAGAGGCCGAAGTAGCCAGCCTGTGGCGTGTCGATGCTGTCGCCGATCCAGTAGGGCTGGATGAAGGTCACAACCATCAGGATGGAGAAGCAGAGTGTGAACAGGGCCCACAGCACACCCATGGCCCGTGCATTTCGCACGTAGTTGGTGTGGTAGATTCGCGCCGCCTCCTGAGCCGGCAGCAGCTTGGGCATGGCCAGGGGGAGAACGGGGGGGTTCGCCGCCTCCCGGGGCCCCGCAGCGCCAGAGGAGAGCGGAGAGCGGCGGTGGGGGCGGGGAGGGCCGCAGGGCCGGGACCGCCCCGGGGATGGATGTGCTGCGGGGATGGATGGACGGATGTGCCGCGGGGAGGTGCCGCCGGGATGCGCTCTGCGCTCGCGGGTCCGGGCCCAGGATGAGCGCCTGGGGTGAGACCGCCTCCTTCCTCCCGCGGGGTGAGACAGCCGGTGTGAGACACCCCCGAGATGTGCTCCCGCCCCCGCCTCGGGATGAGCTCAGTGCCGCAGGACGGGACCCTCCCCCGTGGGATTAGATCCCCTCTGGAATGATCGCACCCCCCCCTTTTCCCCCCTCCCTGTCGTAAGCCTCCCCCCTGACATGTGCCCACCTTCAGGATGTGCCTAACGGCCCCGGAATGAGCACCCTAGGAATGAAAGCCTCCCTGGGGTGAGCCATGTGCCCCCACCGGGGATGCACTCTCTGCCCACAGGTCCAACCTCAGGATGCGACCCCAGGATACAGCCCATGTCCCTGGGAGGTGTTCCTAGGACACATCCTGCCCCCATGGGATATGTGCCTCCAGGATGCACTTTGTGCCCCCACCGTGTGCCCAGGAGGTGACACCCACCCCTGTTTGCACCCCATGTCCTTGCTGCCTGCATTGGGGTGCACCATAGGATGTGTGCTGTTCCCCCAGCAGCCCCCCAGGTCATGCCACGCACCCCAAACTCTGTACTCCTATGCTGTCATCTTGGTGCCCCACAGGTGGGGGCACATGAGGTGCAGACAGGGAGGGGACAGGATGCAGAGACACCAGAAGGCTTTGTCCTCGTGTCATTTGGGGAGGCCACTGCCAGGGCCAGCCTGAATGTCACTGTATGGCCACCGAAGGCCACTAAAGAAGGCCACCAAAGGCCACTGAAGAAGGCCACCGCTGTGCTGGCGTTAATCATTGTCGAGTGCTGAAAGCTGCACCGTTCCCAGAGCTGTCCCCACATCTCAGCAGGTTCAGTTCCTGGGCTCTGGGCACAGTGGATCCCCTCGTGGGAAGTGCAGCACCGTTATCTGACATTTGCTTTGGCTGAAGGAGCAGCAGCACCTGGGGACAGCACGGTGCCACACAACCGCCCTTGGAGCTGCGGTGCGGTGCCACGAGGCCAGGTGCGATAGGAGGGAGCATGGCAGGTGCTGACTATAAAGCAGCCAAACCTACCTGCACTCCAACCCACCAAAACTACCTGCAGCCACCATGGTGCTGCCCCTCCGCCTGCTGCTTGCCACGCTGCTCGTTGCCCTGGCTCTGGGCGCTCCCAGTGAGCAGGGGCTCATCTTCAACCTGGTAATAGGGGAACATATATCCCCACCATTCAGCATACATTTTGGGGTGCCCCAAGACAGAGAGAAAAACTCTTTTGCAGATGGGGAGACAGAGGGAGAGGGGGTTCACTGGGTTTGTGGGGCAGCAGAAAAGAATGCAGCTGTGTGGGGTCAGTTGGGTTTTGTGGGGGGTGTGGGGTTCTGGGTGTGAGCTGATTCCATTGATGCTGCAGGACATTGGAGAGCTGTGCTTACAGAGCGCGCAGTGCAAGAGTGGCTGCTGCCAGCGAGACACTGGGCTGAGCCTGGCACGATGCAGCCCGAAGGCTGCCGAGACCCAGGACTGCTCCCGGAAGGTAGGTGCTGTGCATCCTCTGCCCATTCCCAGCCCAGGAGTGGCCCCAAAGGGTGCTGCCCCACCATGCATCTGTCCCCACAGAGCCTCTATGGGGTTTACTACAAATGTCCCTGTGAGGCTGGCCTGTCCTGCAACGCCGAGTGGAGCATCGGGGGCTCCATCACCAACACCGACTATGGAGTCTGCTATGACAAAAATGACCCCACCACACTGCGGTGACAGACGTGTGTCCCAGTAAAGAGCATCCACCATTGAGCACTGTGCCGTGCCATCACTGTGGGGCAGAGGGGACAGCACAGGGAGGGCTTCATGTGTTCTGTGTGTGTGGTGCATTGAAGTATCGGTTTGGGACACAGGTGGGCAATAAGCAATGAGGTCACGTCAAGATAAGGATGTGGGGGGACAGCTGGATGCAGCAGTGGAGGTTTATTGGCTGTCAGCACTACCATTGGTAGGAAATGCTCTCAGCTTGCCGGTGGGGCATGCAGGGAACTCAATGGTGGTGGTGCTGGTGGCGGCTGCTAGGCTGCAGCCCAGCATGCAGAACTGCAAGCTGAGGATGACCCTGCAATGCCTGCAGCTGCACCTCCTCCTTGGGCTGTAAGCAGCTTGGCCAGCCACAAGCTGTCCCTGAACAGCGCCTCATGCAGTGAGGTGTTGGAGCTGCCATGCACAGCAGTGCACCGCGCTTGTGCAAAGCCCTTGTGCAGCACCTCCAGCAGTAGCAGCAGCTCATACAGCACCAGGCTGATGGCAACTGGGGTCGTCCATGCAGAACAGCAGCAAGTGTAAGTCCACAGAGCAGCAGGCACAGATCTGGGGGTGGGAGGGTTGGATGGGATGGGATGGCATGAGAATTAGGGATGGGATGGGAATAGGGTGGGGATAGGAGTAGGGGTGGATTGGGGTGGAGATGGGAACAGGAATGGCGACGGGGATGGAGGTAGAGATGGGGATAGGGACAGCAGCACCCTGCTGGGGCACACTGTGGTCCCCACAACCATCCCTCAACTCTGGCTCCAGCAGGAGGATGCAGCGGGCGATGCTGTTTAGCGTGGAGGCATGAGAAGGGCCCTCCTGCTCACCCAGCAGCGCCAACATCCTCTTAAGCTCCATGTGCTGCTTTTCATCTCCTCAATGCTCAGCTCTGAGTGGCTATCACACCAACATGGCACGTGGTCCCAACATTTTGCTTTGGGTTCATGTGCCACAAGTGGGGAAAATGAAGCACAGGAAGAGAGGTGGCAGAGGGGATCCCATCCGTAGCAGCCAGGACCTTCAGAATCATGGTGGTGCTGGGAGGGCTGTTCAGTCCAGCTGAGATGGTTTTGTGGAGGAGTTAGTTGGCCATGGCCACCAGATCTCATTTGGAGCTGAGAACTACCCCTGGTGCCCCCTAAGCCACATGAGAGGGGAGGGAGAGGGATATGATGATGTCCCTGCATCCCCCATTGCTGCATGTGCGTGTCATGTCATCCCCCATCCCCCTCACCCCCCCCTCCACCGCTTGTGCTGTTTTTAACACGAGGGTACAGGATGTTCTGCTCTGCACAACCTCAACCTCCCTCTCTCCTCCCCCTGTCCCCCCCCTTTCCTGCTGGCCCCATGGCCTTCACCTCTCCTTCTCTCTGCTCTTATTTAACCCTTTTTCTTGCAAAATAATAAATAAATAAATAAATAAAATTACCTTTTGTTAACATTAGAACCACCATTTTTGCAAGCCTCACCTCTTCTTTTGTTATTTCTATGGTGACTGTTACCATTATTCACACGATATTTCAGCAGGGATCTCACCTTACATCTCCTCACCCTATGTAATGCCTAGAACTGGAGTTCAGGAGTCACTTCAGGTGCCACCCCAGTGCTCATCCACCAAACATCCCCAGCAAGAATTGCTCTTGGGAGAAGGAGTTTGGGGGGTGGGCAAATGCTTCCTGATAGCACTGGGCCCTCCCAGCTTTAACCCTAACCCCAGTCCCAACCCCAATCCTAACTGTACCCCTCTCATAATGGCAGCTGTTAGCACCCACCCACTGGGTGCCCCCTACTATTTCCAGTGGTGCACAATGAGTGCTGGTGGGACAGGGGTTCGAGGGCCAAACAGCACGTTGGGGCTGGTTCCAGTGCCAATAGGATTTGATGGTGCCATGGTGCCATGGAGGGCTCCATGAGTGCACCCCGAAGTGGGGTTAAAGCTGCAGAAATGCATGCGTTGGTTTTGGTCATTGCATTGCAGTGTGTCCCAATTGCAGCTGGGGTTGCTCAGTGACTCCCCTGGGCATTCACCACTGGGGTGGCTTTGGATGGAGGTGGGGCTCATCTGTACTGCAGGAAAGCTATAATCCTTGGGATGACCCCAGGTCCTGTTGCATGCACCCAAAGCTCTGGGGAAGGGTATGGGGCTGATTGTAGGCGCACCCCTCCACATGGCCCCCCACCCTGGGCGCTGACCGGGGTTTGCCTGAAGCTCTGCGGGGTTTGCACAGCTCAGGGACAATGTTGGTGTGCAGACATCATTTCCAACTTTCACTGTAGGGATAAAGACCTTTCAAGGAAAAAAATATAGAAAGAAAGAAAATACAAAAAATGGAAGGTAAAAGGTAAAAAAGAAAAAACGGAAAAGCAAAATTCTTGAAAAGTGGTCTGGTTTTACTCCTTGTGCCAAAAGCAATTGTTGCAGATTTTTCCCAGCCTCTCCTGTTTGGCCTTCACATGGGACATAGAGAGCAATGTCACCACCTGTTCTCCTGCTCCTGTGTTTTCCTCACAGCTGGAGGTGGAGGAGGACAAATTGAAGGACACATTGGGAACAGCCCCTGAGCAGCCCCCCAGGGCGGCAGCAGAGTGCGGGTGCTGGTGTCCCCCATCATTGCACTCCACACCACCACATTCCATCTCATTTCATCATACTCCCATCCCATCCCATAAAACTCCTATCCCACTCCCTCCCATCCTGTCCCATGCCCACCACATCCCATCCCAACCCATCCCACCCCACTGCCCTATTATAAAGCAGGGGGTCATCACCTGGATATGCATATGGGGGTGCTATGGTGGGGACCCCTCAAACCATGCTGTTGGCCCTGAGCCCCCTCAGGAGCACAGCAGCAGGCACTGATGATTTCCAGAAGGACCAAAGAAGCAAATTCCCCCAATCTGCTGGCAGAATGCTTTGTGCTACTGGAGGAATTAATTAGAAGGATATGTTGGAGGGGGGATGGGATTGTGTTAGTATAGGGAGGGCTCCAGGATGGCGGGAGACTCTGGAGTAGGATCCTCCAGGATCAATGTTTTTAGGGTAGAATTCCCCAAAGTGGTGCTGAGCCGTTATTGGGGCAGAGGAGGATCTGTGGGTGCTGTGGACAATGCTGGGAGCTGCACCGGGATGTGATACTGAGGGTTGCTAACATAGGGGTGATGCAATGAGGGTGTGCAGTGCAATGCAGTACAATGGAGGTGTGCAGTGCTCTGGGGGTGTACAATTCTCTGAGGGTGTGCAGTGCAGTGAGAAAGTGCAATGCTCTGGGAGCGTGCAATGCAGTGAGGGTGTGCAATGCAGTGGAGGTGTGCATGCAACGGGGATGCACCTTACAAGGATGAACAGCATTGCAATGAGTGTTTGCAACACAGTGCAGTGCAATCGTTGTGTGCAACGCATGCTGACGAGGACACCCAGCAGGGCCACGTCACCCTGTGCAGAGCAGAGCACGCTGCACTCGCATTCTCCTTACAAAAATGCCGCTCCCAACTGTAACCCAGAGCCTCCCGGGGGGGTTCTTGGGGGGTTCCGGAGGGGGGGTGCCCGGGGCCTCTCGTGACCCCGCAGCAGCACTGCGGGTGGGGGCGGGCGGGGTGCCAGGTCCCGGCGCAGGGACGCGATGTACCGGGAGAAGGGAACAGCCCTGACTCAGCAGAAGCGGGGGGGGGGGGGGGACGACAGAGAGGGGCGAGGGAAACCGCCGCGCGGGACTGCGGGCAGCGCTGGGTCAAAGGGAGAGCTGTGTACGGGGGGGGAGGGAGAGGAGGGGCAGGAAACCCCCATCCCCGTGCTGGGGGTGCCCCGTGGGGTGGGAACCGCTCAGCTCCCGCTGTCCTCAATGTCCTGCTCCACCCCATTGCACTCCAATGTGGTCCACATCACCCCCCTCCCCCCCCCCCCCCCCCCCCCGCATCACAGCCCCCAGCATCAGCCCAGCATCACCCCTGTGCCAGCAACTCCTGCATCACGCTCCAGTATGGCCCCCAGCATGGTCTCCACCATCACCCTCAGCAACACACCCCTAGCATCCCCCTCAGTTCCCCCCCTGCAACACACCCCTTCCAATCAAACCTGTGACATCACAAGCAGCATCATTCCCCAGTGCAGCCCCCAGCACCCCTTCCCACAGCACCGCATTGCCATTCACTGCACACCCCCATTGCACTGCGTTGCACACCCACAGCACATTGCACACCTCCGTTGTACTGCACACCCTCATTGCACTGCACAGCCCAGGGGTCCTGCTCCCACCCCCACCCACCTCCCTCCATCTCCATCAATGCCCCCAGGACATGGCTGAGTTGGGGGTGGGGGTGGCTGGCATGGAGCACCGTCACCCCTGTGCCCGCCCCGGCAGAGGCTGGTACAGTTTGTTACGTCCAGACCGGAATGTACTTTGTGTTAGAAGTGGCCCCCAGCCAGAACGCGCAGCGGCCGTTATTTATACTCCCACTCAGCTCTCTGCATCCTGCGCCCGGCACTCACGGCGTTATCTGTGCTGGGGCCATGCTGGGCCCCCCCCAGTGCCATGCCAGAGCCTTGGACTCTGCCCTCCTGCCATTCATTTACAGAGCAGCATCACTGCTTTCAATATATATTTTAAAAAATACATATTTAAATGTATAATTATAATATATATATTATATACATATATATATACATTCTTGGTGGGTTTTTTTCCCTTTCCTTTGGGGAGAAGACAATCCAGAGGTATAATTTACCCTCTGGGTGGCATAAAGCTGTCCGTGGAGGAGGGGAGTGCCATGGGGCACCCATGCATTGCACACATCCATTGCATTGCTACTCATCCTTGCAGGGAGCATTCCACTGCACTGCACACCCCCATTGCAACATACACCTCCATTGCATTGCTCACTCCCATTACACTGCATACCTCACTGCATTGCATACCCCCACTGCATTGCTGTGCATTCCCATGGGTGTCTGTGCCACCCTAGCGGGACACAGGGAGCTGTTGTGAGGGGGCAGCAGTGGATCCTAGCACATGTTGAAGTGCACGCTGGGTGCATGGTAGCAGGCCAGGGCTGTGATGTGGCAGCAGTGGGGTCTGCCCACTGGGTCCCCACATGCAGTTTCTAGGGGTGGGCTCGTGGGCTCTCCTCAGCACTGTTTCCACACTTCAGAGCAAAGCATGTAGATGGCTGTGTGCAACATCCTGCCATCACTTCTCTGCTGGAAAGATTTGTGGGATCAGATGCAGCATGCAGCCATGCACCCCATTGCCAGGCCCCACCCTTGAGGGCCCCCTGTGCCCCTGTGGCCCCATTGCAGCTGCACCTCAGCCATCACCAGGGACACGGTGTACTCACACTGCGGTTGTGCAACCCCAGCCCTTCGCCTCCGTAAACACCCGACTGCTGCAGCAAAGGGCTGAGCTCACATCATGGCACAATTCAGCCCCCAACCTGGGCTGGGACATGAAGTGGATTGCCGGGGGAGCTTACAGGGAAGAGGGGGAGGGCTGCAAGGGGGGCACCACCCAACAAACTGCTTTGCACCCCCAAAAGGGGCAAGGGGCTCAGTTTGGTGTTGGGAGCCTCATTGCTGCAGGAAGGATTCAGGGAGCAATGGTGCGCTGGGCTTAGAGGTGCTGCACTTTGCAGGAGGGAGGGAGCAGGGAATGCCTCTCCTCTCCAGCCTCCTCTCCTCTTTTTTTTTTTTTTTCTTCTTTTTTTTTCCCCTTCTCCTTTTTCAGTTTTATTACCTTTGGGCAGAAGGCTTTGCCATCACATTCCACAGGGTGTGGGGGCACATGCCCAGGTTGGCACCCTAGGGGTATCCAGGTGTCCAGCATGCCCAGCTGTCACTTGGAGTGCCCAAGTTCAAGGCTTCACCCTGATCCCTGTCCCCATCAGGGGCATCCATGTGCCAGTGGGATGACTGACGAGGGACAGGCAGTGTCCTGGCAGCTGTGCAGTGCCTTCAGGGATTATTCCTGGAATTCTGCTCCAGAGGAGTAGATTTCCTCCTGGGATGGGGTAGGCACTGGGGGGAGGGGGGAACGGGGGACTGAGGAGGGGGAGCAACACACCCAGCACCAGGGCTTTGCATCCAAACCATGCAAGATTTCCCCTTGTTGCAGTGCCATGCTGCAGCACGTCCCACCTCTTCCTATGCCCACAGCTGTCTCCCGTGGGTCCCAATCCTGCCATCACCTCTCTGCACCCCATGCCACTGCTGGGGGCTGCAACTCTGCTCCCAGCCCAGCGCAGCGGGATCTTGCATAATGCTGTGCTACAACACCCAGGCACTGCGGGCGGGTGAGGCGAGGACAGGGCTGCACCGTGCATTTCCTGGCGTGGGGAAGTTGACGTCAGCTCGTGCTCTTCTAACATCGAATTTCCTTACAAATACGAATTGCAAAGTTGGGGTGGGGGAGGACAGAGCACCCCCACACTGTGCTGAGGGAATGGCCACTGGAAGGTCTCTGTTATAGAAACACCCCAGTACTCTCTTCCTATGCATATTATTGTATGCGCTTTTTTTTTTTCTTTTTTTCTTTTTTCTTTTTTTTTTTTCTGTCGAATAAACAAATGGAGCATTACGGTTGCACAGCCCACTGCAGCCCCCCACAGCTGCTGCTATTTAGGACTTTGGCTTTATTACAGGATTCTGCACCAGGTGTAGCTGTGCCAGTGAGGACACCTTCCCCCTCCCCTCCTCCCTAGGGAGGTGGAGAGAAATGCAAAGATTTAGGGGCAGGAAATGGCTTTGAGCAGAAGCCGGGATCAGTGGGTCTCACATCGGAGTGCTGAGGGCCCGTGGAGCATCACCCAGGCCTGGGGTTCCACGGAAGGACACTGGGGACACCTCCTGGAATAGGGCAGCTCTTGGGGAAGCGGAGGGGGGGGGGGGGGGGGGAGAGCGGAGGGGGGGGGGGGGGGGGAGAGCGGAGGGGGGGGGGGGGGGGGAGAGCGGAGGGGGGGGGGGGGGGGGAGAGCGGAGGGGGGGGGGGGGGGGGAGAGCGGAGGGGGGGGGGGGGGGGGGAGAGTGGAGGGAGGGGGGGGGTCCACCCCAGTTTGCAGGGTCGTGGTTTGGGTGTGGCCTCGGTAGCGTTGCTCGATCCCTCCAGAGGCTCTGCTCAGGGCTGGGGAAGCATTGCATGACTACTGGGGGGTGGGGGGCAGTTCGCTGTATTTGGCGCGGGGGAGCTCTGGTATTGAATGGGGACGAGAAGCTCCCGGGCACTGCACGGAGCTGTACCTCCGCAGAGGTATTGCGCAGGGATGAGGCGATCCCCCCGGGGTTATGGTACGGAGGTGAGATCGCCCCCAGAGGCGTGGCATGGAGCTGCTTCCTTCGGGGGGCATTGCACGGAGTTGAGGACCCTCCCAAGGTCACTGCATGGGGATGAGAATTCCCCAGCCGCCGCCGGGAGCATTACAGGGGGCCTCGGCCATTCGACCCCGGTCCGCTGCTGCTGCCCCGGGCAGTGCGCGGGGAAGGCGGAGCTCCGCGGCTACGGAGCGGGCGGCGGAACGGAAAAACGCTCTGATTTGCATACCGCCTCCACTCCAGCCAATGAGAAAACGGTGCTGGCGGTGTAAAGTGGACGGGCGGACGAAACTACCAATGGGAGGTGAGCAGAGGGGCGGGGCGAAGGGGCAGGGAGACCCGGCCGGCGAGAGCGCCCGGTGCCACTTGGAGCCGGGCTGCGGCGGACCGCGGGCGGCAGCGGTGGGCAGGTGGGGTCAGAATGGCGTGAGGTGGGGCGTTGCGGGATGGGATTGGGGGGCGGGTTGGAAAGAGCTTCACGCGTGGGCTCGAGTGGTCCCCGACTCGTGCTGGCTGCGAAGCGTCCCAAGGAGGAGAGGGTGGAAAGGAGCGTCACGCCCACGGAGGTCGAGGGGACACGGAGGGGACGAGGGAGGAACCCGGGGGTGGGCACGCGTCCATAGCGCTGTGCCTTTGGGTTCGCTCCGCTCGAGGAATTGTGCTCGTTCCCACGGAGCAGCGCAGCGCATCCCTCGCGGCAGAACCAGAGTCGGGATTGCAATGGAGGTTGAAATTAGGACTGAGATTAGGATCAGGATTGGGATTGGGCTCGGGACTGGGACCAGGATTAGGATTGGAATTGGGACTGGGATCAGGATTGGGATTAGGATCAGTATTAAGATTGGGATTGGGACCAGGGTTACAATTGAGATGGGGACCGGGGCCCATCAGTACTGCAGTGCCCAAAGAGGGAATTTATTTTCAGAGTTGTTGGAAAATGAGGTTGTATCTGAACAGCTGTGTTCAGATATAATGAGTTTCCTAATGGCATTGACCAAAAATACCCCCGAGAGCAGGCAGCATGTGTGGTTTCATTCAGGATGGGTGCAGCAGCATAGCCAAAGTAAATGGGGCATCTTATTCAGATCCCTTTGTTTCCTCCCTCTGTAGCTGTTTGGGTCTCCCAAATCATCTGGATTTTATTTTTTATTTTTTATTTTGTTTTGTTTTGTTTTTTGCACCCAACCCACACCTGGCAGGATGTGCTGCTGTCACACCAAGTGTTCCCTGGGTGTCCTGAACTATGGAAGTTACAACCTGTAAGGAGTAACCCAGGGTTGAGCCAAGCCAGTGTCCTCGTGGTGCTGTGGCAGGAGATGCCACGTGAGTCCTGGACCCCATTGTGTGACATTACACTACCTTGGTGAGCCAGGATATGGGATAGTGGGGAGGAAATATGGGATGGGAGGAGAAGATATAGGGTGGGAGGAGGAAATATGGGGCAGGAGGAGGAATGTGGGTTTCTGTGGAGGTGCTGGAGAAGTGATTGTTGGTGGAACCCTGGGAGGGAAAAAGTGATGGTGAGATAGTAGGGAGTGGCCCTGGATGTGGCCATGGTGTGACCCCGGAGGTGTGCTGGAAGAGCCTCAGTGATGGCTGTGGTTTGACACAGAGGTGGCCGTGGTGTGGCCATTATATGGCCCTGGAGGTGGCCATACGTGGGATCCAGTGCCGGGGGACCTGAAGGACATGGACTGCATGTTTCCTTGAGGTCCCTTTGGGATGAGGAGGGATGTGGAACAGTGTCCTCTGAGCAGGAAGAGAGCAGCGCCGGAGATTTCTAGAAAGCAGACCCCAAACCACCCTGCTCAGAACACCCCTGTGCTGCTCTGCAATTAGGTGGGTTTTAATTGCAGACGTGCACAATGAGAAAGCTCGCTGGGAACCTTTGAGTCGCTCCACCTGGATACCCAGTCCTGCCCACCTTTGTTAGTGCCTGGAGGGTAATTAGCTGCTGGATGAGCCCAGGGAGAGGCGGGCTCAAATTTGGCCAATGCTTCCACACCATTGTTTAGTGCTGATGAGAGCTTTGCTGAGCTCTGAGTTGTGCCACTCTTTCCCAGCTCATTACCTTGGGGGGTCTGTGCACACAAAGAGGTGGGGGCATGCATTCCAAAAGCATCCCTGGGCACTTGCGCAGAGCCTCATGTCAATCTTTAACCCCCAGCACAGGGAGAACACCGAGAAACACTGCCCAGATAGGAGCACACCTGCTTAGGAGCTGCAAAAATTGGGGGTAAGGTGCTGGTGGTGGTGTGTTCTGCAAAGTGGGGCATTTCCAGAGCTCTGGGAAGGAGTTGCTCACGAACAGTAGTGCTGCTCATGGAGAATTACCCTAATTAAAGGTCGTCCCATTTCAAGGATATTTTTAAATTTACGTTAGTTGGCTAATTAAATAAAACTGGCCATAGGCAGTGTTGTCTTGCTTGCCAGTAACTGTTTCTGGCTTGCGCCCCGCTTGCCAGTGAAAGGCAGCACAGCGTGCACTGTTGGTGTGTGCACCCTTGTGTGTGCAGCACTGGTTTGTACATACTAGTATGTGGCTATACTATGCATATGTGTGCATAAGTGGCTCTGCACATTTGCATGCACATGTGGCTCAGCAGAGGTTTCAGAACCTGCTCTTGCAGTAGCTCCCATACATCCAACTGTACCTTCTCTTGAGCGCTGCTTTGCAGGCAGACATTGGGGTCTGTTCCCCCTACAGGTGTGCAGGGCTCTTGGTGTGCATGGATTGATGTGTTGGGATTTCACACTGTGCTCACAAAATGCTGCTGTGGATGGTAAGTGGCGAAATAGAGCCCACTGATTACGGGGGAGCTGTTGCAGTTGAGGCTCACCTGGCCAAAATGGACAGGTGCATTGCAAAAGCCCTCTGTTACAAGCAGTGAGATGCCTTTATAACAATTTAATGTTCCTTTCCAGATTTATCGAGGAAAAAACACTAACTTGGAAAAGAACTGGCAAACTAGAAATCCCTTGTTTGCCCCATGCGGTATTGACGTGCGCTCCTCGTACGTGGGGATGCAGAGCAGCAGGGGCACAGCAGCAGAGCCCAGTTAAGTTTGCTCAGTGGCCTGCAGGCTGTGTTTTGGTGTGCAGACAGGAGCAAATCTGTTCTGTTTTTTTTCAACCTGGAAGGAAACAAGACCACGTTCCCCTCTATTGTGTGAGCAGCACTGAGCTCATGGAAGCACTGCTGCCCACAGAGCAGAGATTTGTAGATATCCATTCATGTACATACCACTTCTCCATTTTTGAGTCACATTATATAGGTTTTACACACATTCTATCATCTGTCTATGATATATATGGTTACACAGAGGGATGGGTGGTCTCCTTGCTGCCACCACGCTTTGTCCTGGCTTTGCAGCCCCCCAGGGCACAGAGCTGAGCTGCAACTGACCTGTGAAGCTGTAGTGACTGTGTGTAGCACTGGGTATTCCTTGCAAGCACAGGAGTTGGCATTTGATGAAAGCTGCCCTGGAGCAGCACCTGGTGTGTCTCTGGGTGCTGTTGGGGGTGTTCTTTCCTCCCTCCTGAGTTGCAACACTTTGCACAGTATTTATTAGAGAAAACCGTTTGCTCTGTCGGAGGGAAGTGAAACTGCAGTGTGGTGAGGAGACACACAGCGTGTCCCTTGTTGCCATATGAGGCAGCATTTGGGAACAGTGGGGTCCCACTTGGGGCTGTATGCGTGCCAAGCCAGGACCCTCCCTTTTTCGCTGCCCCCCCTTTCCTCCCAGCTCCTGACAACCTCCAGGAGAGACACTGCAAAGTTTCCACTTGTAGCTGGAAAGTTCCCGGTATTGTGATTTCTAGGAAATGCAGGCTGGGATGGTGGCAGAACGGGGTCCTGTCAGACTTTGGCCTCTCCTTTCATTGTTGGGAATGAGCGGCCAGTTTTTACGGGGCAGGTTTTGGTGCCGGTGCCATATCCAGTGCGGTCCTGGGGTGTTGCTCTCAGAGGGTTTGTGTCCAGGTGCTGAAGCCTCTGGGTTTGTCTTGGTTTTAAAACGTTTATTACAGCTCTTAAGTTATAGGTGTACACTGAAATGGTGTGAAGCCACCCTGTTGTGGTTACATGTCACAGTCAGGACATTTCCCATTGTGCCCACATGCACACGGATCCCTCCTGGCCCTGCAGCCTCTGGAACATGGCTCCCAGCAGGGAGTCATTGCTGCTGGGCACAGCTTTGGAGGATGAATGTGATGCTGGACCCGGCCGATCATTCTGGCCTGAGAGAGCACCAGCCCTGGCGTGGAGCAGAGCTTAGGGAGCAGCAGCCTTCCTCCGATGGATTGCTTCCTGTTAATCACTCAGGAGCCCCACCAGCCTTCCCTGGCTGTGCTTGTGCCTCCACAAGGCTGGAGATGAGCAGAAGCAGAGCCACCTTCTCTCTCTGTTTTGATAGACGAAGGTTTCTGAGCTCTGTCCCAATACACAGTGGTCCTGTAGGCTGCATCCCTCCCTCTGTTGCTGACGCAGGGCATCGCCCCCCCACTCCTCCCTGTGCCTTGGCCAGCTGCCCTGGATAGCTGCACTAATTGCTTACGTAGAAAAATAACAAGGAGGATGCGTGTGGTGTATTTTTAGATATCTCTTGGTGGGATTTGGCGACTGGTGATACAGAGCTGGCACCTCCCGAGCCATCTTCTGTGCCCCCATGGTGACGCTTGATGCACCCAGGGAAGCTCTGCCTCAACAGGCTTTGGAAGGCTTGCTGTTCTTTGTATACATGGATGGGGATGATCTGAGCTCCGTGGGGTCTTGCTGTATTTCTGCTGTGCAGTGTGCTGGTGGCTGCAGCCAGGAGCACATGGGCTGGATGCAGGGCACCTTAGAGCAGGAGGTGGGAAGCTGATGGATGCTGCAGGATGGACCATTCAGCTGAAAGTGATGTAGAAATACCCTGAGCTTCCCAACTGCCCTCCTTGCACCAGTGCTCTTAGTGCTTTTAGGGGTTGCCATCCAAAATCTCTGCAGAGGAGGGGAAGTGGAGCAAATGCAGCATCTCATCAGACATAGCCCCAAAGACTTATAACGGGGCACTGCAGCGGCAGTTCTCTTCTTTCTCTGTTCACTCCTTCCTCATGGAGCCCTTTGTGTCTTGCTGGTTTCCTGTGCTGGGAAGGCTGGTGTTGGGTTTGTCCCACTCAGCCCAGGCGCAGTTGTTCTCGCAGTGTGACTGATCTGCCTTGGGAGCTGAAAACATCCTTTCTTTGCTGTTTATGAGGCCTCGAACGGATGATTTCTAATGTTGGTTGGCGTCAGCTTCCACACGAAAGGCTGTGGGAAAGTTTGGCAATTACACTGACTTTTATAGATCTGTTTTATGTTTCAAAAACCCTTGCTTTCTATTTCTGTGTTGTATGGTTCCTTGATTACGTGTTGCACAGTAGTGTAGCAACCAAAACAAGTCATCCCATCTAAGGGAAATCATCGGGAAATGGTTTTTTTCCTCAACCAGAAGCATTTATGTTCTCACTGGGCAGCGTTTGTCCAGCTCTGCCATGGATGAAAGCTGTGGTTTGTCCATCGCCGTGGCAAGGCACGCAGCAGCCTACACAGAGTTCAGGTGCCTGGCTGCATGGGTTTTGTATCGTGTCCTTGCAGTGCTTCCCCATGCAAACTGCACTGTGTTCTGCTTGTATTTTGTTTCAGCAAAATGTTCAGTGCCGCCGATGTGGGCACGGTCTGCTGGCTGCAGCACACTCTTCTCCTGTACAGTTGTTGCTTTGGGCAGCACTTTGCCCCAGAAACTCATTTCTTGGAGTCTTCTAGCGGATATTCTTTGTTGGAATTCTGTTGGCACTGTGTTTGCACTGCCCTGCTTTGCCTTTACGTCTTCCCATTGGGGTAAGACCATGTGGTAACCCACAGCATCAGGGCTGACCCACAGCCTCAGCACCTTTTTGGGTCTTTTTGGGCAAGAGGAACGATGCATGCTTGGGTTTGGGCCATTCACTTAAGAATAATGCAGCCTCTGACGGAACAGGAACTCGTTCCTCGTGGAAAATAATCCTCATCAGTGCATGGCGTAGCTCGAAGCACAGCATTGTGCAAGCTTTCAGACAGCATATAAGAGGGGCTGAGTTGAGGGAAGGAAGAGCTCTGAGGGCTCTGCTTTTCCCCTCAGAGCATCTCAGCCTCTCAGCTTCACCACTTTTCGTGGTGTCTGCTGATAAAGGTGCCTGAAATCTCTCTTTTGGTGTTTATTACTCCTTGGGCTGAAGGCCAGCATCTTGTTGGGACTGCAGTCGTGCTGGTGGAGCGTCCCCCCAGAAGGCCCCAGTAGGTTGAGTGCAGCCAACAGCGCCGAGCTCCTGCATTATGCTGTGCACTGGGAGCCCCTTGGTCGGCACCCTTTGACCTGTTGGCACATTTTGTTGGTAAAACCCTTTCTGGGAGACTCTGTGTAGCAGTGTGAGAGGACCTGGGGGTGAGAACTAGCAGGACATGACTGTCTCCATCATGGTGCTGCAGCGTGGATCCGGCTGCCAGGGCAGCTCAGTGCCTGCCGCTGGAGCTGCGTGTGCTTGTGGTTCAACAGCGCTGAGCTTGGGTGGCCCCTGGGAAGGGATTTTCCGCTCTGCATGCTTGAGATGTTCTCTAAACTTCCTGCATGGCCAGCAGCACTAGGGCTCTGTAGTTCTTAACCCTTTCCCCCTCCTCCTGTCCCTCCATCCTCTCCCAGCTGTGCTGCTTCTGCCTGGGGACAATGACAACTGACGAGGCCACCAAGCCTGAAGGTGAGGTGCAGGCAGCTGCGCTGGCGGAGCGTGGGGAGGACATCACACCTACCCGTGACCGTGGCGTGCTGAAGGTGAGTGGGACCTGCAGTTGTGGCCATTTGTCATAGCCCTGGGGCTGTGTTCTGTCCCTGTATTCCTGGTGAGACGGACACTTCTGAGCATCGAAGGATGGAGCGAACACACTGCACACGGGTTCAGTCTGCTGAATGAATTTCACTGCTATTGTGTTTCTAATCAGATTATTAGCCTCAAATCCACAAAGCATTTTTGTGTGTGACTCACAGACATTAGAAAGAGCACATTACTTAGGTCATGCAGTCTGCCTCACAGCTCCTGGTTCTCATTCGGGGCCATTTCTGGATAGTTCTGCTTACCAGCACTTGCTCTTCTCCAGCTGAACAGGACCTTCCCTCTAATAATAGCATCCTCCCCTGTTGGGAACTGCTTGTTCCAGGCTGTAGCAATATAAAAGAAAAAAAAACAAGTGTTGACAAGAAGCAAGGAGTGAAACAACACACCCCCATGAGTAAAGCCCCGTGCAGGGGGAACTGCACTGGTGTAGGGCTGGGTTTTAGGAATCAGATGGCTTGCCTACTGCCTTCCCCTGTGTTAGGGCAGTATTGCAGGAGAGGGTTTAAATGTGTATACATGCCTGTATTTTTTTTTTTTTTAAATAATGGGTATATGTGCATCCTAAGCTCAGCGCAGACTCTTTCCTGTGGGTGGATTTTCTCCGTAGATCATCAAGAGACCCGGGAACGAGGATGAGTTCCCTATGATTGGAGACAAGGTGTATGTGCACTATAAGGGCAAGCTGTCCAATGGCAAGAAGTTTGACTCCAGCCGTGACCGCAACGAGCCCTTTATCTTCAGCCTGGGCAAGGGTAAGGGGACGAGGGACTCCCGTGTCCCCATGGGATTAAGGAACAGCTTTCTGGGGTCCCGCTCTTGTGGGTTTTCTTTTTTTTTTTTTTTTTTTTTTTGGGTTCCTTCCTGATGCCACCTCTCTCCCAGGCCAGGTGATCAAGGCATGGGACATCGGGGTTGCTACCATGAAGAAGGGTGAGGTCTGCTACTTGCTGTGCAAACCGGAGTACGCCTACGGGGCTGCTGGCAGTGCTCCTAAAATCCCCTCCAATGCCACCCTTTTTTTCGAGGCAAGTACAGGGCTGGGAGATCTCTCTGCTTTCTGCCTTGCCAGCCAGCTCTGAGAAAGAGGAAAAAAAAAAAAAAAAGCCAAACAAAAAACAGCTTGCATTCCTGAAACGTGTCCCTCTGCTCCAGGAACCAATGCCAGTGTTTTTTCAGCAATGTGTGTCTGAGCCGAGAGTCTGCGGTGGGGAGCAGCCCTGTGGGGAGAGCCGGCACAGCCTGGCTGTGCAAAGGCACGCGAGTGGGGAAACAGCTCGGGAACACCTCCAGGGGTTAAAAATCTGCTCCTGTGCTCCCCCTGCACCTCTCAGCCACGACTGCGCTCTGCCCTGCAGGATTAATAAACTCAGTTTTGCTGTTACTTTGTGCTGCACTTCAGGTACTGGATGTGGCCCAATTTCTAATAAATTGGGTGTATTATGCTGTGGCTTGGAGCTGGCTTTTATGGGCAACTTCTGCTTGTCAGCTGAGCACAGAATTAGTTTGCTTGGCTTTCCGGCTTGGGGATGAACTGTTGCTTTGTGGATTTTCTGTTGTTTTTCTCCTCTCCTTCCTCTCCACCCACAGTTCTGCCTACCTTCCCTTTAATCCTTTAGATAGAGTTGCTTGATTTCAAAGGCGAGGACCTGTTTGAGGATGGAGGGATCATCCGGAGGATCAAGAGGAAAGGAGAAGGCTATTCCAATCCCAACGAAGGTGCTACAGTGGAAAGTGAGTACTGGGTTGGGAGCTGCCCTTGGCACAGCATGTGACAGCTGTTCCAGAACTGCTGGCTCGGAGGGTTTTACTGGAAAACCTTGAGCTGCGGGAGCAGCCAGCTGGGGATGGAGCCACTGCTCAAGGACGGACCGCACTCTGTTTCTCCAGTCCCTATGGGGTCTTGGGCTCAGCCTCTTTCTTTTTTGTTTGCCCCTCCCTTGTCTATAAGTGGCTCCAGGATGTGGTTGTATCCAGGACCAGTGAGGTGGATGCTGAAAACTCAGGCTGTGATTTGGATTTCAGCCTGTAACACTGGGATTGCCGAAGTTTTCACTTAGTGTGCAGCTTGCCGGGTGCTTGGGCACATCTTTTTGTCCAGAGGAGGAGGCAGCAGCCTCTCTGGTCTCCTTGTTGCGACGCTTATTGCTGTTTTGGTGGTTTTCATTGCATCCGCTGCAGCATGGGCTCTTTTCCTTCTCATGTGGCCAGAGGACAGTTTCAAACTTCTGGTCGTAGCTGATGGGGGATGAATTAACACAAAAGGGGTCTGTGGATTCAGTGTGGTCCGTAGTGCATTGCAGTTCATTCTGTCCAGTTCCTCGCTCCCTCTCTGTAAGCGGGACTGAGTGATTCTGGTCATGTTTATGGAGCAAGCATCTTACTCAGGTGGGGAGAGCCAGGCTTTTGTTTCTCCTCCTGCAAACAACTCAGCCATAGAAGTGGAACTAACATGCCATCTCTGTAAGGCGTCTAGTTTCTTATCCCCATTCCAGAGCTCCTGTTCGTTCAAGAGGGTCCAATTAACTGCCATTAGTGAAGGTGAAATTAGATCTGAACTTACAAAACTCACTGTCTGTTCCTCTCACAGACTTTCTTAAGAAGATGTTCTTGTCTCATGCTGATCTATCTGCCTGTCACATGGCTGGACCCTGCTGGGAGTAGGGTTTCAGGCTGCCTTCCCCATCTCTGAGGTTAAACCTGAGAAACAGGCTAAACAAAATGACAACCGGCCCCATTTCCTCCTGCCTTTTTAACACTGGAGCTCTGTGTGGGGCTGCGTTTCTCTGCACCTCAAAGCTGACCTGTTCCTATTTCAAGTGGATGCTTGGTTGCAAGCAAACAGGAGCAAACAGAGAACAGGAGCACACACACAGTCAGGATAATAGAGATGAATTCCCTCGGAGGCAGTGCTGCATAGAGCAGGAGCACTGCACCAAGGTGGCTACGGGTCCTTTGCACCAACCTGCGGTCTGGGGCCAGAGACCATAAATGCATCCCAAGGAGAAAAGATGCAAAGGAGCAGTGAGCCAAACCTGGCAGCCTTGCAGGGAAGTGTTTTGGGTGCAGAGAGGCTTTTTTTTCAAATGCATTGCTGTTTACCTCGAAGTACTTTGCTTGAGGCTGGTTTGCAGGGTCACCCAGCAGCAGAGGTGGGACCCCAAGGAGCAGCTTTGGTTTATGGGAGTGCACAGGCACCTCTCTGTTCTTCTCGCTTCCCACCAAATCCAGCATCAGGGATAGCTCCCAGGTGCCCGAAACCTCTGTTTGAGCCATGCTGGGGAAACATGTGCACTAATCAAGGCGAGCACCTCCAGGCTGGAGTTTCATAAGCAGTTCTATCAGTTAGAGTTTTCAGGCTGTAGTTTGCAGGTCCAGTTCCTAAAACACGGGCTGCAGTCAAAATCCCACATTCCAGCTTTTGTTACAACCTTTCCCCACCCCCTCCCCCTCCTCTCCATTTTAATCTGAGTACAAATTGCTGTCAGCACATCAAGTTCATGTGCCAGCCGCACTCGGTACACTGTGTTCTGAGCTCTTCAAAAACAAAATCACTGCAGGCACCGGGAGAACAATAAGTCAGCACTGCAGCCGAAGGGATGTGCAGAGCCCGGCGGGGGCTTTCTTGCTGTAATCCAAGAGCAACCGCAGCCAGCTGACCTGCTTCAGATAGCGCTGAAATGCTCCTAGAAACCGGAGCAGAGATTTCCCCGTTGCTAGTGTACAATTAGAATAGAAGGAAAGCTCTTCTGCTTCTCTTGAAGCAAGGGCTGGGAGCTCATATTCTTCTGTGCATACTGTTGTGAGGAGGGCTTGTGGGATCACTGCTGTGTTCTGCTGGTGACAGGTGACCCAGGGATCCGCAGTGCCGTGTGCTTGGTGCAGGCCCATGGACAATGGGTGCAGAAAACACAAGCAGAGACAGCAAGGAGCCGTGAGGTTGGTGGGCTGCTTGTGCTTTAGGCTGAACGTTCCATTTTCCCAAGGAGATCAGCAGGGTTTAGCCCTGGAGTGGACTTGCAGGAGTTTTTTCCATCATGCAGCCTGGCTGCACAAAGCAGAGTGCTGTCCTCGGCAGCGCATCAATGAATGGCCAAATCATCCCCACTTAGAAAAGGGGTTAATGTCTTCCCAAGGCTCTCACCTCTCCCCATTTTACTGACATTTATATTGGCAGTAGAAACCTTTCTGGCTTCTCAGCAGCGTGCGTGTGAGAAGCTCATGTCCATCCATCCATGCTGTTGGGTTCTGCAGCAGTGAGCAGCTGCAACATACTTAAGCACTTTTGGAAGCATTAATGCCTAACCATGATTTTTTTTTTTTGTTGAAGGCTTTTGGGGAGTTTTCCTGCAGTAGGTGGGAGTGTCTTATGAGATTGCTTTTATTTTGTTTGCTTTGAGTGCAGGGAACACCCACTGTCCCCCAGGCGCACACCATCCTCAGGATTGAATAAATGAGGAACGATCTCAGGGTGGAAATCATGCCAGGAGCACCAGGTGGCAAATTTGCCGGGTCTGCTGTTCGTTCACCAGCTCCATAGGCTGGAACAGTGTGCTTATTGGTTGAAGACAAAAAATATAAATGTTTATTTTGTACTTTTGGTTCAGTAGAGGCAGGAGAACATGGCCTTGTTTTCGAGGTGTAATGCGAGCGTACAGTGTAGTATAGGAGATCTGTAATCACCGTGATAAACTCCACGTGGCAGTGTGCCAGGAGCAGTATCCAGTTCCAGTAAGGCTGACTCGTGCAGTGCGGCACAAGAGGAACATATTAGTCATAATGTTTATCTGTTGTCTGGTCCTTGCTGGGATGAGATATGGCTGCACTGCTTTTTAGCAATGTTCTTCAAGCCCTCCCACCCCTCTCTGCTCACTGTCTCCCCTGAAGCTTCCAAGGCTCTGGCTCAGCGTGGGGGAGGATGTGGGATTTTGGGGTCTTGTGGTCGGTCACTGGATGGAACTGCCCCATCTCTGCTCCCGCTTCCTTAAGTGCCACCTATATGCAAAATTCCTTGGAAAATGGTTTATGGGGAGCCACAGGACTCAGGGCCCACACGGTGCTGACTGCCTGTGGTCTTCACTCTGTCCCACAGTTCACCTGGAGGGGTTCTGTGGTGGAACCCGCTTTGACTGCAAGGATGTGAAGTTTGTGGTGGGCGAAGGAGAGGACCACGACATCCCTATTGGCATTGACAAAGCGCTGGAGAAGATGCAGAGGGGAGAGCACTGTGTCCTCTACCTAGGGCCACGGTAAGGGATTCTGCGCCCATGCTGCTCGGAGCAGGGTTGAAACTTCCAACATTGGAGGCCATTGGAGCATTTGTGAAAATGCAAATGTGCCAACAGAACTTCTCTGGGATATGTTAGTATCACCAGCAGGGAATGCCAGAGTGGTGAGTGGGAGGCAGGTACTTGAAAGGGGTTTTATCCAGCTGTTGGAGCTCAGGAAATCACTGTTCCTTGTCCTGACGCGTGATGAAAGCTGTGTAAAGCCAGGTCTGGTGCACCTGTGTGCATCTGGAGATGCACATGTGTAATGCATCGTATGCTGCAGCATATATTTGCTTCTGGAGGATAATAGCACTCCAACCCAACAGCATTAGCATGGAGCCGGTTGTGCAAGCCACTTGGTTGTGTGCTTGCTAAAATGAAGATATAGGGGATTTAGCTTTCTTCCTGCTTTTTAAAGATGCTGGTTGATGAAGGGGGGTATTTAGGAGGAGAATGGCCGAGTCAGCAGAGGAAGGAAGGGGCTGGGGGGAGGCTGGTCCTGGGGGGAGGCTGTGGGTGCCCTGACCTCCCCCCCGAAAGCTTCTTGCTTCTTCCCTACAGGTACGGCTTCGGCGAGGCAGGGAAACCCAAGTACGGTATTCAGGCGAACGCTGAGCTGGTGTACGAGGTCACGCTGAAAAGCTTTGAGAAGGTGAGGGCAGGACTCCCCCACACTCCCCACACTGTTCTCACCCTTTGTCCCTGGCCTGGCTGCGCCACGGCCCCTGCCGAAGTGGAGACGTCAGCAAGGATCACTGTGTTCTTAATTTGTTCTTGTGTGTTGGTTTGTTTCATTTTTCTGGCCAAGCTCCAAGGCTGGTCCTCTTATTTATTCCTAACCTTGTTCCTTTTGTACTTTTTTTTTTTTTTCCTATCTCCTTGGGCTGCACAGAAAAAAAAATATTAAGATTTGAGTCCTGATGGGAGAGGGTTGGGGTGAATGCTGGAGGGGCTGGGGATGGGGACAGGGACTGGGGACAGCACAGGGATAGGGCAGGTGCTGCTGGGTCCCTAACCTTGGCTGGAGCAGAGATAGTGCCAAGACCCTATGCTGGGGAGAGATCTTCCTTTTTTTTTTTTTTTTTCCATTCTGTGGGGTTGCTATGTGTGTACCGCAGTGGACAAATCATGCTGTATAGCTGGGCTCAGAGTACATCCCATCCCTGCAGTAGTTACTCTGCACCCCAAGGCATGCCCTTTGTGTGCTCCATGAATGTTTCCTATTCCCTATCTGCTCCACTCCTTCAAATTCAGCACTCTGCCCTGTGCAAGACCACCTTGCTGAGCCCCACTCTATTAAAGAGAAATCCTCCAAAGCTTCCTGGGGCTGCCTGGATTGTGGCATCCCATTAATTTTGCTCTTCTTACCGCTTCCTAAGGGTGTGCATGCAGGTGGGTCTGGTGCTTTGGAGTTGCATGGTGTGTTGATCTGGCGCTGTTCCCACCCTGCAACTGCTGCTATGCCTTGGGGTGGTGGCTCTGAGCTTGTCTTTGCAGGCCAAAGAGTCATGGGAGATGGACACCAAAGAGAAGCTGGAGCAGGCTGCCATCGTCAAGGAGAAGGGGACAATGTACTTCAAGGTTTGTGACACCTGGATAGAAGCAGGGAGCTTGCACTGCTGGGCCCTTGGAGCAAGTCCTAGTTCACCTCACTGGGTCTTCAAGGAGTAAAAATGTCAGAAATGTCCCCTCCCAAAAAGTGCCAGTCCTCTGCCAAGTCCTCTCCCTGCGTAACAAATACACTCCATAGGCAACGCAGCATTACTGGGGCCATGCAGCGTCATCCACTCCTGCCTGCCCAGCTGTTCGCTGTCCTCAGCAGATCCACTGTCTTTCTGAGTCTGGATTCATGAAGTAGAATCATAGAACCGTGGAATGATTGGGTTGAATGAGAACATAAAGATCGTGAAACTATGGAACGGTTGGGTCAGAAGGGCCCTCGCAGCCCTGCTGCCTTCCTCCCCACCTCAGGACACCACCATGGATGGGGCACCTTCTGGGCAGAAGTGCTGGATAACCTCACTGCCCTCTGAGTAAAAAGCTCCGCCTAACATCAAACCTAAACTTCCCCTCTTTTAATTTTAAACCCTTCCCCGTATCCTGTTTTTGCTCCATCTCAGGAAGGCAAATACCTGCAGGCGGTGATTCAGTATGGGAAGATCGTGTCCTGGCTGGAGATGGAGTATGGCTTGTCAGAGAAGGAGTCAAAAGCCTCCGATTCCTTCCTGCTGGCTGCCTTCCTCAACCTGGCCATGTGCTATCTGAAGCTGCGCGAGTACACCAAAGCTGTTGAGTGCTGTGATAAGGTATGGGAGCACAACTTTTGTTTTACTCTTCCTTTCCTATTCAGTTTGTCTTCGCAGCAGTTTCCAAAGGGCACTGTGTTGGTGGCATTAAGAACACTTAATTATTTTATAAAAGGCTCAAATTTACAATCGTTTGAGTTGGAAGGGACCTTTGAAGGCCGTCTGGTCCCACTCCCTGAGCTGCACAGTGATACCCACAGCTCTGTCAGTTTCTCAGAGCCCCGTCCAGCCCTGACCTTGGGTGTCTTCAGAATTAGGCATCCACCAAAATTTAGGAATCTTGCCTCTGGTTCTTCATTGCATAAGGCTTGCTGCCTTAACTCAAATAGAAGTTACCAATGAGACGCATCTGTGGCTCTCAGGAAGCTTTCACTATAAGGAAATAACATGAAACTGGGACAAAAACTCACAGTATCCATAGTGAACACGCTGCTGAGGGTTGCTGGGTTCTGGAGAACTCTGTGCTTGCAGGCGCTGGGGCTGGACCAGGACAACGAGAAGGGCTTGTACCGGCGGGGTGAGGCCCGGCTGCTGATGAACGAGTTTGAGCTGGCAAAATGTGACTTTCAGAAAGTGCTAGAGGTGAACCCACAGAACAAAGCAGCCAGGTCGCAGATTGCCGTCTGCCAGAAGAAGACAAAGGAGCACAATGAGCGGGACAGGAGGATCTACGCCAACATGTTTGCCAAGTTTGCTGAGAGGGATGCAAAGGTTTGTCGTGCCTGGAGGTTGGGTTTGGGATGCTCAGCATGGTGATGGGGCTGAAACAGAGCAAATGGAGGCTGGGACAAGGATGGAGGTCTGGATGGCAGTTACAGGTCATGCGTGGGCTGCAGCTGTAGGTCATGCATGAGTTCATAGAATTTTAGAATCACCACGGTTGGATAATACCTACAAAATCATCCAGTCCAACCATCTACCTATCACCAATATTTTCCACTAAACCATGTCCCTCAGTACAACATCTAAATGTTTCTTGAACACCTCCAGGGTCAGTGACTCCACCGCTTCCCTGGGCAGCCCTTTCCAGCACCTGACCACTCTCTTGGAGAAGTATTTCCTAACGTCCAACCTGAATCTCCCCTGGTGCAACTTCAGGCCATGAGGGTCGTATGTGTGCCACAGCTATAGGTCTGTGTGGGCTGTGGCTGTAGTTCACTTATGGACTGCAGCTGTAGGGCTGAATGGGCTGCAGCTATAGACTGTGTGTGGCCTGACAGAGCAGCATGGGAAGGAACCCCTTGGTTCTTGGTCTTTTGCACACAGAAGCTGCTGTCAGGTACTCACTTGTCGATTAAAGTGTTTAGGACATGGGCACGTGACAGCTGGCAACAGATTTGGTGTTTGTGCTCCAGGTGCTGTCCCCTGCCTGTGGCGATTGATGACATGGGTAAAGCAAAATGTCAGCCGCTCTCTGGCAAGGCCAGGGGGAGTTTGAGACATGATAGTATGAATTTCCTGAATCATATAACCCAACACTCTGCTCCTCTGCTTATATAAGAGATCACTTTCTTGTAATAGGCTCTTATCCAAAATTCCTTCAAACAAAAACCAATGCACAGTGTACCATAACAGGAGAGGACAACTTTGCAGTCTGTGTGAGTCATTTTTGGTATAATCTCTTCTGAACCAGTGTCTGAAAATGAGGCGGTGGAATATGTGAGTGCAGTGGACAGGGAGCAGCTGTGGCCCAGCACCAGGAGGTGGGTAGGGAGCAGGGCTGTGCTCAGCTGCCAGCTGTACGCAGGCTGCAGGATGTTGTCCTGCACCCGTGGGTCTGGCTGCAGCTATAGCTTGTTGTGTATGGGCTGCACCAATAGATTGTGTATGGGCTGCAGCTATATCTCCATGTATACACCACAGATACTGCCCAGCACGTGGACTGCAGCTCCATAGCCCATCATTCCTGTTTCTCGCTCTGTGTTTCTCTTTCAGGAAGCAGCCAGCAAAACCAGAGTAGAAAAAGAGGCAGCGACAGCATCATGTGATGAAGGCAAAGAGACAGAGGGGCACGTATGATGGAGGAGGTGGCAGAAGGACAAGCCTCCTGCCTTCAGCCTGTGCCAAGAACTTTGCCAGGACTCAGGACCTGCTGGTGTTTCCTTGTAAAGTTTGTTCCAGTTTGTGTGATTGTGGAAGCAAAAGTGCCTCGCAGAGATCAGACTAGCCCGGTGCTGCTGCCAGCTGCGAGCAGTTGGATGGTGTGGGACCACCACCAGTGGAACAACCGCCTTCGCAGGGGTGGGGGACAAAGAAATCAAAGCTGGAACTCCTGGCTTCAGGAGGCTCACCTTGCTCTATGTCCTCTGGGAGCAGCTGGGATGTGGAAGCAGTGTGGCAGGATGCAACCAAGCCTTCCTCATGCACTGCCTTCCTCCTCTTTCTTCTCACTGTAGGGCTGGGGGGCTGCAACAGGGTGTCTGGACCCCACTGTGCTCACTGGTTGTGTTCCCTGTTCAAATTTTTCAACAGAGGTTTCATGGCCCATAGGAACAAAAATAATTTTAAAAAAAAAAAAAAGGAGAGAAGCAGTGGTCAGGGAGCAAAGGGGAGGTTCTTGTGGAACTGGTGCTGCACAGTGCCATCCTCCAGCCAGCCCCGTGAGAAAGGATGTGGGCACTGCCTGCAGAGAACAGCTTTCAAGTTTTTATTTTTACTGTCTGGTCTTTGTAATACCCACTGGAAGCTGGAAAATAAAGAACTGAAAAAAAAATAAAAATTGGTTAATATAAAAAAGTGCTTCTCTGCTCCATCCCAGAGGGGATGCAGCAGTTTGAGTGTGTTATGGAGTTATTGCTGTCTTCTAGGCCTGGTCCTGCTTTGGAAAGCTGTTTGGAGTCCTGCTTTGGGATTCTGCTTTGGAGTCTTGCTTTGAGGTGCTACTTTATGATTCTGCTTTGGGGTATTGCTTGGGGTCCTGCTTCGGGGGTGTTGCTTTACAGTGCACCTTTGGATGCTGCTTTGAGGTCTTGCTTTGGGGTTCTGCTTTGAAATGCCCCTATGGGTGCTGCTTGGAGTCCTGCTTTGGGGTCTTCCTTTGGGGTGCTCCTTTGGGGTCTTGCTTTATGTTGCCGCTTTGGAGTCCTGCTTTGAGGCGCCACTTTGGGGTTGCAGCAGTGCAGACTTCCCAGCCTGGGGAGTTTGTCCTGATGCCTTTATTTGTTCAGCACCACCGTTTGGGAGATTTGGGGCTGGTGTTTCGGGGTTTCGCTTGCCCCAGGTCTGGTTCTGGGGTGAAAAGTTGAATGGAAGTGATGGCTCCGCAAAAAAAATGTTTTCTTTTTGCAAGCAGGGCAAACAAGTCACTTTGGATCAGCTAAAGTCATGTTTTCCTTAGGAAACGACTCTGGCTTGCTCCACAGAAACTTGCAACTCTGGCTACACGGCTCGAGGGTGGCAGTGTTGAGCACACCATGGCTCAGGGTGCTCCTCTCTGCGTGGGGTGTGCAGTGTCCAAATGCCACCTAGTGGCACTGGGTGCTGCAGGGAGCAAGGCTTCAGTGGGTTGGTGCTGCAGTGGGGTTGTGTTGAGGAAGGAGTGGGTTTGATGCTGCAGTGGGGTTGAGTTGGGTAAGCAGTACATTTGGTGCTGCCATGATGTTGAGTTGGGTAGGCAGTAAGTCCAGCAAGGATCCTTGGGTTTTCTGTGCGAACCAACCCAAGTTCTGTGTTTCTATCCCCAACAGTGGGTGAGAAAAAGGAGGCAAGCCACAAACAAATCCCCCAGGTTCCCTTTTATTGGGATTACTGCGACAGCTGTCACTCTCCCTGCAGGGCCGGCCAGCCCTGAAATCCTATTACTGAGTTTCAAGAGAAATAAAAAGTTAATCATCTCCTCTGCGCACTCCTGCGCTGCTGGCACCAGGGCTGAGGCTGCACCCATGGAACCAGCTCTGATCCTATAGGCACTGCAGCGATGCCACTGCAGACTGAGATCCTGCGGGAGGTGTGGGCCACCGACAGGTGAGGTCCCTTTTTCTCCCTTTTCAGTTTAATGGTTTGTCTTAGTGTAATTCTGTCGAATCTTTTCTTTTCTTTTTCTTTTTCTTTTTCTTTTTCTTTTTCTTTTTCTTTTTCTTTTTCTTTTTCTTTTCTTTTCTTTTTTTTCTTTTTCTTTTTCTTTTCTTTTCTTTTCTTTTCTTTTCTTTTCTTTTCTTTTCTTTTCTTTTCTTTTCTTTTCTTTTCTTTTCTTTTCTTTTCTTTTCTTTTCTTTTCTTTTCTTTTCTTTTCTTTTCTTTTCTTTTCTTTTCTTTTCTTTTCTTTTCTTTTCTTTTCTTTTTTTTCTTGTTTGCTTGCCTCATTGGTCAGTGCCTCGGTGCTTGGTGGCTTGCAATGGGAAAAGCATTAATTAGGGCACATTCCCGCTGGTTAACCTCACTGCCATCAGCACTGACCAAAGCAGAGCCCAGCCTGTGCTTGGCCCTGTTGGGATATGGGGAAGCTGCTTTGGAAAACTGCTATCTGTTTTGGCTCACGTTCATCAAAAAATAAACTTTCCAATGGGGCCAGCCCTCACCCATCTGCTTCCTCTGCCCACAGCCCCAGCGAGGAGCTGAGCAGCCCTCAGCAGCAGCGGCTGAAGCAGGTGAGGAGCAATTCTTCTACGGGCTGAGGATGGGTGCAGCCCCTGGCCACATTGTGGTGGGAGTGGAGTGGGGTTGGTGCTCAGTCCTGGGTGAATGCAGGCGTTTGTGGGACCCTACTCTGCTTCTGATCTGTGCATCCTTCTCAAGCCCATCTCCATCCCATCAGATGGAGCCTCAGCTCCTGATTAGTGCTTTAATTAATCATTTCAGCTGTCAGCAGTGTCACTTTCCAGGCTGTGACCCCTTCTAGGGGTGGCTGCATTTTGAGGCAGCCCTCTGGGACAGCCCCTGACAGCAATCTGAGTACTCTGCTGTTATTAGCAGACTTTGTTAAGTCTGCTAACAAAGTGGAGGGCCATCCTGTCCCTGTGCTGCTCAAGTGATTAAAGGAGGGAAAGAGCTTTTTTGTAGCCAGCTGAAAGAATTTGGGATTTGCAGCCCCACCACGAGACCCTGAGGAATATGCACTGGGAGATGGCAGAGGGTTAGTGCTGTGGGGCAGATCCATCCTTTTGTGGTGCTGAAGTGCTGGGGGCTCTGCCTGGGAAGGATCCCCTCAGAGCAAATCCCTCACAAAGGGGGGATGCTTTGCACCCAGATGTGATCAGCGCTGATGCAATCAGTGCTGCATCACTCCTGGGGGACCCCGACCAGGTGCCCTCTCCCTCTGATGTCCCCTGCCTGGTGCTGAACCACATGCTCTGCATTTGGTAAATCAGCATTATTTATAGCCCAGGGTAAAGAGGATTAGGTGTGCTGCCTTTAATCCCCCACTTCCTCCTGCCCTGCTTCTGCTGACCTCGATCCTTGCAGCTCTGGTGTCCCTAGCCTGTCTCAGCACATGGCCTTCAATCTCCACCCCACAACCTGGTTTCCATAGGAAACACACGTGGGCGAGAGGAGCCAGGGGGATTTTGATCCCCACACTCCCTGTGTATCCCTTGTGGCTCACATATGGTGGCATGGCATCATGTCCCCCATCCCCTGGACAGGCAAGGTGTGGTACTGCTGCCCTCCAATCTCTCTGCTAATGGCCCGTTCTGTTTCCTTCCTGCCATCCCTCTGTGGGCCAACCCCATGGTAAGTTGTTCATGTAACAGTGCAGCACGTCCCTTGCAAGAGCTTTTGCAAGAACAATGCAAGAGCTGCCGTGCTCACAGAATCCCTTTCCAAAATGCACCAGTGTGCTCCAGCTGCTGTAAGAGCAGATGCTGAACCATGGCACGGTCGGTCTCTGCAGCATCGTCTGTGGGGCAGAAGCTGAAGAAGAAACGGCAGGAACCAGCAATGGAGCCCGAAGCCAAACCACGACGGCTGCGGGTGAAGAAGCCAAGTGATCCCAGGGGTACCGAGGAGCCCCATGGCCCAGTGCAGGGTGAGCAGCTTATGGGGGCCCTCTGCCAGCTCCTGTTCCCTCCAAAGCTTACGTCCCATGCACCCATGGTGCTCCTTGTCACACGGGCTCTTGAAATGTGCAGGGGTGAAGAAGGTGGGGAAGAAAAAGGAGAAAGGAGAGGAGGAGGGTGATAAGGAGCCCAGCTCCAAACCCCTCCGGGAGCCTCGGAAGAAAAAGGAGAGCTCAGCGCCTCGATCCCATGTGGCCAAAGGCCAAACAAAGCAGCAAGGTGAGGGGACATGGCGGGCAGCAGCCACCCTCCATGGGCACATGGAGGTTGTACCACAGCATGGTATAACCACATTCCCTCACGTACCATGTGTCCCCACGAACCACAACCCTGTGTGTCACGACCCCAAGCACTTTGTCCCCACCGTCCATCCCACTCATATCCACAGCAATTCTGCATCCCCTCAGGGTGCTTTTTGCCCCCAAATCAGCCTCATGCATCCAAAAAGGATGGGGAAACTCCAGCCCCATGTCTCCACGCCTCATGTCTCCACTCACCACATCCCTATGTCCACGCTATCAGTTTCTGCAGAAACCCTGCACACCCCTGTGGTGGTTTTTGTCCCCAAATCAGCCTGATGCATGAAAGGTGGGAACCCCCCAGATCCATGTGTGTCCCTCTGTCCCTTGTGTGCCACCACCATCTCTCTGCTATGTCCCACTGGGCAGAGGTATCTGAGGAGGAGGAGGAAGAGGAGGAGGAGGAGGAAGATGAGATGGAGAGTAAAGATCCTCCCAAAAAGCTGAAGAAGAAACTGACGAAAGAGCCACCCTCAGGGGAGAAGAAGCTGAAAGCAAAGGGTGAATACACAGGGGTGGCACAGTCCCAGTCCACTGTCACCATGTGACCTCTGTCACTGGCTGTCCCTGGTCTGACCCTCCAGGTGACAAAAGTGATGCTGACAGCAAAGCCAAATCTACCAAAAGCGCAAAGAAGGACCCGATATCTGTGTTCCATGTGAATGGGGAGAAGAAGGAGAAGAAGAGCAAAAAGAAAGGTATGAGGTGAGCGGGGTTGGCATCCTCATCCAGCAGCTCCCACGATGTGTGATGGTGTCCCCATGTTCCCATAACCCTGTGTTCCCATGCACCGTTTTCCCATATCCCCATGTCCCTGTGTCACTTTGTCCCTGTGTCTCCATGTCCTCATGTCCCCATGTCCTTGTGCCCCCCAGCTGCCACTGGCAGTGATGAGGAGGATGACTCTGATGCCAGTACCAAACCTATCCGATCGGGTAAGAAGAAGAATCCGGTGTCACTCTTCCAGACTGGTGGGGACCCTCCGAGAGAGAGAAAAACCAGGAAGAAAGGTAGGAGCAGTGCTGGGGGGCTCCAGGGCCATGGGGGGCCTGGCTATGGGACATTATGAATGATGTATTGGCATTCTCTCCTGTCTACAGCCCCTAAAGCAGCAGAGAGTGAAGAGGACGCCTTGGAGACACAGCAGAAGAACTCCAACAAGAAGGGCAAAGGGAAGAAATCTAAGAAGGTAATGGGGGGAAATGCCAGTGACACCCATACAGTGGGTCAGGACCTCCCCTGGGGTAGGTCTGCATGGCCATACTGCCCCCAGAGCCAAATCCTGAGGGCACGTGGGGTGTAAGGAACTGGGAAATGGCAGTAAATGGCACAGGGCTTGGGATCCCCCCAAAAAGCTGTGGTGTGGCCCTGCAGAAGGAGGAGAGGCCGCTGTCACCTGTCATCGAGGTAGACAACCTGGAGAAGTTTGTGCTGTCCCCAGCGCCACAGGGGGTGACCATCAAGTGCCGGGTGACGCGGGACAAGAGGGGTATGGACCGGGGCCTGTACCCCACCTACTACCTGCACCTGGATAACGACAAAAAGGTGAGCAGGCAGGGGGCCAGAGACCCATGGGAACACCCAAGGAGTGCACCCATACGGTTTTTGGGGCATGCCTATGTGCACCCCACTGGGTTACTTCTGTCTCATTTTTCCTTGGAAATGCCAAAGTTGATGCAAGGTATGATGCCAGAGAGGTAATGCTCGTGCCACGCACAGGGACACTGACAGTGTTTTGGGGCTCAGCTGCGCCACAGTGGTGCTGGTGGTAGGTCAGTGGTTGGATTTGCTGATTTTAGTGGTCTCTTCCAACCTTAACGATTCTGTGATTCTATTTAGGGACATGGCTTAGTGGCCATGGTGGGGATGGGTTGATGGTTGAACTGGGTGATCTTAGAGGTCACTTCCAACCTTAATGGCTCGATGACTTTACAACTTAACACAACGTCACAGCCGTGTCCCCATTGCACAGTGCAATATGCAGAGGGTAAGGTGAGGCGACAGCTCTGTCCTAGCCATGTCATGCCCCCAGGTCTTCCTGCTCGCTGGGAGGAAGCGTAAGAAGAGCAAAACCTCCAACTACCTCATCTCCATCGACCCCACAGACCTGTCACGGGGTGGGGAGAACTTCATCGGGAAGCTGAGGTGGGTGCCACCAATTTTTGCACATCAGATGTGGGATGGGAGTGGGATCAGTGCAAAAGGAGAGGCTCTGGATGGTGGGATTTGGTGTGAGATAGTGATGCTGGTGGCACCAAATCTTGTCCCTCTGCTGCAGGTCCAACCTGATGGGGACCAAGTTCACCGTGTTCGACAATGGCTCTAACCCTGATCGGGCCAGCGCTGATTGGTCCAATGTGCGGCAGGAGCTGTCGGCTGTGGTTTATGTAAGAGTTCCCCCCAGCAGAGACTGAGGGATCACCAACCTGCACTCCCTTGCTGGGGTATCACTGGGGGCTGCAGAGCCATGGAGCCGTGCAATGAGGCTGCAGCCCACAGCAGTTGCTTCTTTTATGAATGGGGCATCTCTTGCAGGAGACCAATGTGCTGGGATTCAAAGGGCCCCGGAAGATGACAGTCATCATCCCTGGGATGAACTCAGACAACGAGCGGGTGCCCATCCGGCCCCGAAATGTGAGTCAGATGGCCAAGGATCAAGTGAGGATGGAGCCAGCAAGCCCTCTGGGCTGGGTTTGATGGGGTTCACTTGAGGTTCACCTGATTGAGGCATCCCTCAGTCTCAAGGGACCTCTGTGGGAGGTGGAGGTGTGGCGTTAGTCTCTTCCCAGCCATGTCCTGCTTCGGAGTTGTGTGCTCCAGAGCATCCAGGGACAGCATCCCACTGTGTGCCAAGTCTCACCCTCTTTGCCCTCCCCAGGACAACGACGGGCTGCTCATGAGGTGGCAAAACAAGAACATGGACAACATTATCGAGCTGCACAACAAGGCACCGGTGTGGAATGACGAGACCCAGTCCTATGTCCTCAACTTCCACGGCCGTGTCACCCACGCCTCCGTCAAAAACTTCCAGATTGTGCATGGCAGTGACCGTGAGTGGAGGGATAGGGTGCAGGGGGGACTTGGCTGACTCCCAGCACCCATTTTGCTGTTTATTTCTTGCCCAACTGCTCTGGGGTTTCCCTGCGTTCTGCTCCGGCAGAGGGAGCACGTGGGTCGTGCACGGTCATGCAAAATAGGGCATGACTCGATCCTGCAGGGTGCTGAACTCTGTAGCACCGCAGCATCGCCGCCAGCGCACACCACATGCGTGCTCCCCATATGCACATCTTTGGTGTGCATCATGCCTTGGGGATGGTCCCTTAGGGTGACCCTTTGGGGTGATGGACACAGGATCCGGATGTGGCTCAGGGGTACGTTTGTACCCCCTTTGCCAGCGGCACTGCCTGCCCCACGGCAAAGCAGACACGGCCCCATGGCAAGCGTCCCAGCATGGGGCAGCACTCAACCCTCGTCACCTGTCCCGCGCAGTCAGAAGCCATCGGCACCCGCGGGTGTTGAGTTACAGGACAGAAAAAAACCTGTCGGGGGCCCCTGGTTATTTTTACAGATTTCCTGCCACCCGTGCTTTGGTAACAGTGAGTGTCCCATGGGGGGCAGTAGGCTCTGGTTCCCAGGGACAGGGTGCTGGGGGGACCCAGAGTGCCACATCTCCTCTGAGGTGCAATGCAAAAACGCTGCTTTTTGGTTAATTGAGCTGCAGTGCAGTGCAGCAGCAGCCAGTGTATGAGCTGGGCATAGGTGCCCCCTTCACAGTGCCACTTGGAAAGGGAAGGTGTGGGTGTGGGAGCCGTCCAGCCCACACCAACGTGCTTTCTACTCTGTCCTGCAGCTGATTACATTGTGATGCAGTTTGGACGTGTGGCAGATGACGCCTTCACCATGGACTACAACTACCCTCTGTGTGCCGTGCAGGCCTTTGCCATTGCTCTCTCCAGCTTTGATGGGAAGCTGGCCTGCGAGTAGCTCCATGCTGTCCTGTCCCCATCCGCCCCCCTAGTTCCTGTGTCTGACACCACTCCATTGGGCAGCACTCTGTCGGGCACCGTTTTGTTGGGCACTGCTTGCCTGGCTGTGGACAACTTCCCTGGGAACTGGTTACCGGTCTCAGACAGAAGGAAGAGTTAAACCTGAAATATATATCTTTTTTAGTTTCTGTTTTGGGCTTTGTAGCACAATTTTTAAACAAGAAGAGGATGTGATCTCCTTTGGTTGGCGGTTCTTCATACCCACACCAAAGGTCACCCCCAGCCGCCAGCAGCACCCAATACCTGATTTCATTTAAGAACTGACAGCAGGAACAGTGCTGTTTCTTGGAGACAAATCTCCAGATTTGTCCCAAATTGCCAGCCTAGTGATGCTCTTCTGTTTTCCAAAAGCTGCATGGCTTTGGGCTTCATGAGTCATCACTGCACTGGGGGCAGATGGAGCCCTACATGGGTGCATGCATAGCCCCATCCCTTACCCTCGTGGGAAAGCTGGAAGAAGAAACAACTGGTGTGGTTTAGGACCAGCATCTGGCTAGGTGCAGCCAGCAAATGTGGGGGAAAGCCAGATCTTGCTGCCCAAATCCAGCTGCCAACCACACATTTGTTTGAGATTGGGAAAGGAACAGCTGATGGTTAGGGACTGCTTCCATCGGCACTTGTCTCAGTTTCCTGTGCATTTGTGGGAGGCAGGAAGCCAAAGCTTGGTAAGAAAGTGGGGTTTGGTACTGGGGTCCCCAGAGTGCCCCCTCTCAGAGCATCACTGTTCTCTGGGAGTTCCTCCCTCCAGCACACCCAAACTTTTTTTTTTTCAAATATTATTGCAGTTCCTCCAAATTGCCAGCCTGGGGTTCAGCCAAAGAGAGCAAAAAGCAGCACTGTGTTGGAGATGCAATGCAATCCCATCCCAAATCCATCACCCATTGGGTTGGAGACACAACACCATCCCATCCCAAACCCATTGCCAGCAGCAGCGATTCTGATGTGCAAGCACTGCACGCACAGCCCACAGCAATTACAGCATCAGCCACCTCCCCCAAATCACTTACACAAATCCTCCTAAACCAAACCAACTGCAGCATAAGAAGCAAATGAAAGCAATTTAATAGGGTTCTGGATGTTCGGGCCCTTTGTTTGCGCTGGCTGTTAACACCAGTGGAGATAAAGAATTGAGGCAGTTGCAATGTGTATCTACTTTGGCCGATGGAAAGTGTGACGGATGCTCAGGCAGACCAATGGGTGAGGATGAGGATGTGTGCGTGGGTGTGGAAGGAATGCTTGCTGCAAGTAAAGATCAAAAAAAAAAAAAAAAAAAAAAAAAGTAGAGAAGAAGAGGAGGGAGCTTATCAACTTCTGAGGCCAAAGTGTGCATTGTCCTCAGAGAAATGCTTTTCTGAATCCAGGGGATGAGATTTACCCTGAGGCAAAGGCTTTGAGGCTTCTTATGGTTGAGTTTAGGGGTTAGGGTTGGGCTGGTGGAGCAGGGATGGGTTTAGCCCCATGGAGCACATAAGCTCTTCCCAGGATCCTCAAGGGAAATGCATTGTATTTTTTGCAAAGGTGTAAGGAAAAGAGAGAAGAATGCATCCCACCTTGATGCTGCATATCCTACCTTGATGCTGAGCACCCCACCCCATCCCTCTCCAATAAGCGGAATGGTGCTGCTCTGGGCCACATCCCAGTGGTATGGGTGTGCAGGACATGCTGCTCTCAGCATGATAACCAACAGGCAGCACTGGGAAAGCTGATATTTTTCAACTGCTTTAAGAAAGGAATCATTTTTTAATTAGTGAATCCATTCTGGAGAAGTGTCAGAGTTTTACAGTGTTGTAGCTGTTCTTGGTGTGTTGCCTAGACTTGGATGTTCCAGCCATAAGAAAATATTATTTATGGCATTGGTGCTCACAGCTCTTTTATATTATAATTTGGGAAGGGAAGTTGCTGTTCCCACCACTGGACAAAGAACAGCAGAAACCAAGTTTAGGAAAAAGACCAATCAGCAGCACCACAGCAAAGCACCGAGGGCAGAACTGGAACAGGATGAGACCGTGTTGCAGCCACTCACTGCACACATCCAGCTCGGCACAGCAGTAACCTCACTGCTGCTCCCCTGTGCAGAACGCCATGTGTTCCTAAACATTTGCAGATCAGGCTTTTCTTCATGGGCTAATGCATGCCTGTTTGCTCATGCCTTACTCAGACTAAACTCCTATTGAACTCAATTAAGTCTGTCATCTCCAGGAGCAGTCAATGTCATTTTTGCCCAAGTAAGGGATGAGTAACGAGTGCTGCGAACGGCCCTTGGAGAATTGCAGCCATTTTGCTGCAGTTCTTGGTCCAGATTCTTGCAGTCAGCACCAGGCCAAGGGTGGAAGAATGCGATATGGCCGTATTAATCACCCAGATTGCTGAATGTGCTGGATGGGTGTGTGGAGAGCTGCACCATTGGCTGTTGTGTCCCAAAATGCTTCAGTACAGCTGAGTTTGGCATGAAAATCAGAAAAATATGTTTCTGAAAGGGATGGGATGCAGGGAGCATCCTTATCCTGAGTGAAGTGCCTGGAGGATCCCATTCCCTGATCTACGTCTGCATGCACTGCGCCATGTGTCACCCAACCTGCCCACGTCCTTGCTGTGTGCTGAACTCGTGCTCAGCAGCGCCGGGCTTTCTGCCACTGGGACCTCAGATCCCAACACTGGGGCTGGGCCATGGCCAAGAACTTGCATGCAATCAGTGTGTTACCACCCCTCAGCCCTGCTGCTGGCTAGGCTCCCTGGGATTCCACTGGGAATCACAGGCGCATGGGCTGAAATCCCCATCCTGGTGCCACGGGGAAGAATGGGTGTTCAGGAAATGGGGGACTGTGGTTGTGTGGGGGAGTGCACCGAGGGATGAAGGTATGAGAGAAGGAGGATGGAGGTGTTTGGAGAGGAATGAGGGTCTAGCATGGGGATAAGGGTATGAGGATAAGGATGAAATTATTTTGGAAGAGATGAAGATGTTTGGAGGGGGATGAGGAGGTAAGGATGAAGGGGGGGGGGGGGGGGGGAGGGATGAGGAAAAGGATAAAAGTGTTTGGAAGTGGATGAAAGTGTTTGGAGGAAGATGAGGATATGAGGATGGTAATGACGAGGAAGAGAATAGGGATGAAGGTGTTTGGAGAGAGATGAGGGTCTAGGATGAGGATAAGGATATATAAGCAAGGAAAAATATGAAGATGTGTGGAGGAGGATGAAGGTGTGAGGATAAGATGAAGGTATTTGGGAGGGGGTGAAGGTGTTTCCAGAAAGATGAGGGTGTGAGGATGAGGAGAGGGAGGAGAAGGATGAAGGCGTGTGGCACAGCATAAGGGTGTGTGTGGGGGGGTGATAGAAGTGTAGGGGAAGGGGTGAAGGTGTGTGCAGGGGGTGAAGATGGATACTGGGGGTGAAGGTGTTTATGGGATGAAGATGTGCAGGAAGGAATAGGGGTGTGCGGGAGGCGAGCACAGGAAGATGAGGATGTGCACAGAGGACAATGAAGGCTGGCACAGGGCAGAAGCACCCCAAGCTGAGGGAGAAGGAGGATAAAGGCTCCGAGAAGTCCCTCCCGGAGTCGGGGTTGCGCTGCCCCTTCTTCCCGCTGTGCTGTGCTCCGGGGGGGCCGAACCCTCCGTATCCCCGCACCGCGACGGGACCGCGAATCGAGGGTCGGACATGGGACCCGACGGGGCGGGAGTACTCGGGAGGAGGGAGGGAAGAGCACCGGGAAAGGAGGGTGGGAGGAAGGCCGGGGGAGGAGGGTCGGCCCTGCCCCTCCGCCTCCTGATTGACTCCCAACTTTCTGCTCCTCCCTTGCATAAACTTTCCCGTCCCTGAGCCTGGTTCCCTGTGCGGACTCCGGAGCTTGCAGCGCTCTCGCATTCCTATCGTCCTCCCCCGGCCCATCCCTGGCACCAGCTCCGGTCCCGGTTCGGTCCCAGTCCTCTCCCGGCTCCCGTGGCCGGCCCAGCCCTCCGGAGCACGGAGCAGGTAAGCGCCGTCGGGAAGAGATCCCTACCCCCCTTCCTCCTCCTCCTCCTCCTTCTCCTCCACCTCCTGCGCTCCTTCCTCTCGGCCCGCAGCCCTCCTCCGCCTGCACCGAGCCCGGGAGGGGCGGCTCCAGCTCCATAGGATGGCGGTGGGGAACGGGGGGGGGAGGGGTAGGTGAACAGAGGGTCCAATGTGCCCCCCGACCCACCAGCAGCCGGGCGGGAGCTCGGCTTTGGGAGCGCCCCCGGGGCCTCTCCGTGCGCTCCTCCCGGCCGCTCCTTCTCTCCCCGGACGGCTCTGCAGTGCCCCCAGCCCACTCAGTGCCGGGACCCCCCCATCACTCAGCTCCCCTCACCCCTCTCCCCACTTACCCTCCCCCCCCTCACTCCAACCATTTCCCATTTTCAGCGCTGCGGGACGGCTCATCCCTCCCCGACCCCACTCATCATTTCTCATCCCAAAGGGTTTGCGTCGGAGTGAATCCATGTTTTTTCCCCTTCACGCTGTGCATCTCCGGATTACACATAGGGTTACAAAGGGGCCTTGTGTGCAATAGAGCCTATACTTCGGAGCGGGCGTTACATAAACAGCCCTGGCACAATGCCCACCCCGCCATGCCCACCCCAAAGGCAGTGGGGTCGCAGGGCACGGGGACGTGTCACGTTACATGTGTGTCACACACATGACCATGCGCTGAGTGTATGCTAAACACTTTGTGCCTCGTCATAGGGGCGCATTGCTAACGAGTCAGCGATTAGGTGTATAATTTTCGGCAATGTGTCATCTTTATTATTATTATTATTTTATTTTTGCACTCTCATTTGGTTTTGTTTTGTTTTGTTTTTTCACTTCTCCTGTTCAGAAGAAAAATAACATCCAGCCCAAAATCACCCAGGAAGAAGTCATTTTTAGGGAGAAAACTGCTGGGAATGGGGAAGCATGCACATGTGTTGCTGGTCCACACTGGGGCAGAGGGTCTGGGATTTTTCTGGGGGCCATGGCAAGCTAGGCCAGGCGACAGTGTCGCAGCAAAGCGCTAATCTCTGTGTCAGGCGCACTGGGGTATTTTGGGCTCCAGCGTCCTCTGCCCCCTCCTATCGCTTTCCGACGTGTGCACCGTGAGTCAGGGCTTTGCGCTGCCTGGGGGCACTGTGTGTTTGCTGGGGGG